CCTGCACTCTAAGGATTTTAAAGCCTCCACTCCTTTAAACAGGATGCATCACATCTATCACATTTATGTGACTTGCTCAAGACATACGTATATTGGTGGTGTGTTAAATAGCAGCACACACTAATGTTAATACTGTACACTGTGTTTTAAGTAACACACAAGGTCACGTACTTAACTTTGTTGAAAGTGTCACATCTTTTTGAGAGCATATGAAGATGGATTCAGTCATCTCTACAGTACGAGAGGACGTTGTTTATAAGACAAGGATTTCTAAAGTCTCTCTCTCTGGATTAACTTCTGCTGATGTTGACCACTTTTCATCCCTAGGAGTCATTACTCTTTCTTTTAGTTTTTAGTATGTGTGTGTCTGCTCACCAAGCTTGAATATATTGAGTACTTTTAAGCCAACTGGAGCACATTGCATCACTTTAGAGTTGAGCTGTTTAAGTCTATTTACAGTACAGTATCTATGGCTGACTCCAAGGTATAAGGTTAAGGCATTTGTCTCGGGTAGTTTAAATTCCTGCTGGGAGATGGTTAAAAGTAGACCGCAACAGCAAACATTTGGAAACAATCCTAACAAGCTTTTAGCATTTAAACTACAAACAAATGAGTCTGGGCGAATAATCAAGTTTATCTCTCCACTATAACAAAGTCACAAATGATGCGAAAGTAATTTCATTGCTATAATGACTTGTATAACTGCCAAGTAAGAAAAGTTAATGATGATATCTAAGGAATTCAGCTCAATACGCAAAATCGGCCTGTATGCAGATGATTTGTTACTGTTCTTACAGCACCCTCCCATCATTGTTTCTTAATGGAAGCAACAGCTTCTCGGAATAAATGTGTTTTGCACACATGATTTTCTATACTTATATAAACAGTACATAACCTTCATCAGTGTTTTGAGTTTGCTCCGTTGTCATGGCGATGAATGTGAACATGAATTTAACATGAGAGCTTAGTAGCTAAATAGCACTTTTAGGACTTCTCGTGTTGGCTTAAAAGTTAAGCCTCAAAAGTTTATGCTTGACCCCAAGAAATACTAGTTTGAATATTTTTTTTGGCTGTTTGTTATGGTTGAAAGTTTCACAAAAGCCAAGAAGTACACAATTTTTTTAATCTAACTGCTATTTTCCAGCTCAAGAATGATCTTACTTAATCTTATGCTTAATACACTCAAACATGTACATA